CTCTCTCTCTCTCTCTCTCTCTCTCTCTCTCTCTCTCTCTCTCTCTCACACACACACACACACACACACACACACAAATACACACGCATACACATCATGACATAAGTGATCCCATACACATATACTAATACCAAATATTTTCAAGCGGAAATATTCTGAAAACATGTTTTTACAGCAAAAGCAAAAAATAATTAGAAGCAGCAAGTCCCTTTTTTTCAGTAGGTATGAACTATTCCAAAGACACACATTAAAGAAATCACAACACATACACCCCTGAAAGTTCAAAGAATTCCTTCCTTCTGCCTTCCTAGGAAGGGGAAGTTAGGACTGTGTAGGAAATGGTGAGGAGAGAGAGAATTTCTCTGTGAACTAGATGGACTATTTTTTTTTCAGCTCTTAGGAAATATCTCAAGCCGCCACCATAAAAGCCTCTGGCTGAGATGCTTAAAGGTGAGTAGTCCCAGCCTTCAGCCAGGCAGTCTGGGGGAGGGGTGAGATGCTGTGCAAAGGACAGGGAGTCATGTGTTCCAACTGTAAAATAGAAAAATTGCATGCAATTATTTTACAAGCAGAGCGCGGTGATGTGAAAGGAAGAAGTCGTGATGATGCTCTCAGCTTGTTAGAAGCTTCTCCTTCTGGGGAGCGTGAGGTTGCAAGGAGTCCTGCTCGCTGGCAGCTTTCCCTCCTTTCTTCTCTATACTCACCGTGAAAATAAATCCTGCGCGGAGGGGGTTAACGTTGCAAGGATGTTTTTAAATAATTTCTGTGACCAAAGCCAGAGATACAAGCCTGGCAATAATTCTCCCTGACTCCAAGCATCCTGTATTGATTGATTAATTATTCCACCAATGAACTAACAGGTATTGACCTTATCTGGTTGAGTAGCATTTAGCCAAAAGTCAGTAATCTACATCGACCACTTAATGGAACATCAAAGCTCGGCATTCTGACAGGTTTATGTCATTCAGCAAAAATCTGTCTACATTTTTTGCTGATACCGTGACCTTTTGTATCAAGCCGTCTTTATAGAAAACAAAAACCAATGACAAAATTAAATCTTGGAAATAATGCTTTGTTATGTAAAAGAAAGTTCTTCTTCGTCTATTGCAAATAGCTTCAGCCAAGATCCCACTGAGAGCTTTGTTTGGCTTTTTTTTTCCTATCTGAAGAGTGGTTTTCTGCGTGGTGGTAATATATGACATTCTCAAGCAAGAAATTATCAAAACAATGGACTATGAGATAATTCACACTCTAAGGATGGGTTCACATAAAAAAAGATCTTGAGTCAATGATGCTGGATGTCCAACGACCAAATACTTTGTGTTTCTGATCATCTAAGTAGCATAATTCCGATTAAAATATAGAATAAAATCTGCAATTCCCTGTACCACATATTTCTCTCAGATTAGAAGCAATTTTCATTAAAAACAAAAACAGCAGAATTTGTATTCAATGTTTAATATATTGATATACGGTTAATATGAAAACGTACAATGAGTCCTTGTTCCAATTCTGCTCCTTCCCATTGAAGGATATATAATGAAACCTGGTAAACAAATCCCCAGCAATAGTTTATGCATGATTCTATCTGAAACCTTTATCTGTAACTCTAAGTTTGTTCCTTCCCATGAGCCCTGTCTGCATGAAGATGCCCATGTCTTGTTTCACAATTCTTATTTTTAACTTGTAATTCAAAATAATTAAAGCACCATTATGCTAAAACATTTTTAAAATGACTTCTAGGAATATGCCCCTGACTTAGTAGGTTGTGATCGCGGGCCTGCCCTTCAGTGTGCAACTCAATGGAGAGTTCCTTTTTTATATGAATTCTTTTTGATGGCTAAGGATTCTCCTGTGGGCCTGCCATCAGGATAAGCATTTGGCCCATTGGATTTACTCCTTCTTCACTCAGAAACAGATAGTTTTGCTCAGTCGCATGTAGAATAACTCTCACAGTTGCAAAGCAGAATCCTGATTTCCATTTGCAATGACCAATGTGCGTTCTCTGTCCTCATTTGAACTCCAGCCGTGCACTGTAGCCCTCTTGCAGTTAAATGAACTTAGCTTATGTCCATAACTCATTTAATATAAAAAGTAAAAATTCCCACAACTCATTTAATATAGATGTTAAAATTTCCCTCTATAGTAATGCTTTTCAATAAATGGGGAATAGCTTCCATATATAAGCCAGACAATCATTGATTATAATTAAAATGGAAAACAGATCTCAGCCCAGTGGCAATTTCTCCTCATCTGAATTAGCTCAGTGTCAAACAGTAAATCAATACACCAAAGATAAACTCGCTTATCTGCAAAATATGTGTGTTGGTACATATCGATTACTTACATTCAATTATCCATGATTATGTATTAATAATTTATTTTATAAATTGATAATGTAAAAGATTACCAAAGAAGAAAGGAATGTTTGTATTATCTTTTTCCTCTGATCTTACATGAATTCAGAAAAATGAAAAGAAATAAAAAATGCAAAGATACACTAACCTTAAACTGTCAAATAGCAATTTAATTGGTCACAAGAAGATGCCATAGACCTGAAAGGTTTTTTGTTTTTGTTTTTGTTTTCATTAAAAACTGATTTAGCAGAAGCCTGCCTGCTCTGATCTCTGTGAGAGAAAATGCATGTAATCCTTGAGAGACTTGAGGCCCCAGGGAAGGAGGTGGTCTGGTGAGAGAAGCACCCCCTCTAAGGCAACAGGGAGGAGGAATGGGATTGTAGAAAGAGGGACCAGGAGCTAGTGGCAATGATCGGAATGTAAATAAATAAAACAATTTAGAAAAAGAAACTGACTTCAATAGACACAATAAGATATTGTATCCAGTATTTAATAGATAAAATAATAGGCACAAATCATGTCAACAGACATAGCAGAAAAAAAGAAGAGAAGGAAAGGAGAAGATGCAATCAATCTCTTCATGAGAAATACCTTCACGGGAAGAGGGGAATGCACACATTCACCTAAGGCCTTTCTGCTTCATAAGCAACAGCAAAATTGAGAGAATTGACAAAAAATGGAAAATGCTTAAGTCTCACACGAGAGTTGTTTCCCTTTATATGAAGTGAGCAGGCTGAGTCACAGCACCCAGAGAGATGTCCACTAGCTTCTGTTAAGATTTCTCAGCTTGGATGAAGTACTGTACGATTGCTCTGGTTGAAGCATCCACATTAGTGCTGACTGGCACCTTGATCACTTTTTGGGACTGCATCTTTACATTTTATGAACTGAGATATTTTGATTCCTTATATATATTTTCTGTACAGTATACACTCATCAGTTTAATTAGCCTTACGATGCATTGTTTTTACAGCAGATTTATGATATCTCTAAGTTCTGGAGAAGACAAGATACGCAATCCAAGTAGCAAATGGCGGTTCCTCCTACAAAAGGAATAGAGGTGGGGGTGGGGGTATTTGTTTGCATTTGTTTTGTTTTTTGTTTGGTTTGTTTGTTTTTCTTTGAGAAAGTGTTTCTTGGCACTTGCTTTGTAGACCAACCTCAAACTCAGAAATCCATTTGCATCTGCCCTCTAAGCTAGTATTAAAGGCATGAGCCACCACATCTGACCAAAAGGCAATAATCTTGAAGCTGATGTTTTGTACAACAGCATATAACTTCTTTGACAAAACAAATGAGTAGATTAAACAGTAATGTGGTTCAGAAGACCTTACTGTAGGTAGCTTAGGAAACATTAATTGGTATGCAATTAGTATATAAAATATTAAGTGCAGTTAGAAAAGTAAACACAAACATTATAGAATGGAAATTTCCAGACTTTAAATCACTGAAGTAAATGAGCAGTCTATCATCTCAGCAAGTAAAATCCAACGAAAGAAGTACTGTGCTTAACTAACATGTAAGACATGTTGTTCACGTATGGTTCTCAGACATAAATATGTTTTGGTCTAGGGAAATGTTTACAGTCTTAACAGTTATAGAGGACACAAAAGATCATTGGCTCATATCAGGTCTGTTCATTGTTTTTATAAATTTTATAAATAATGTTTAAATTTAAATGTATATTTATAATTTTGCCTCATAAACTATAACAAATACTTAACATATAGTTTAAATAACACCAATAACTATACTTGTCCTAGAAAATGCGAAGAAATTGCATTGTCTTCCTTCTGTTCTTCAAACTTCTTCAATGAGTTCTAGTTAAAGATAGCTCGGTTCCTACCTCTTCATCTAAGCTTGCTCTGTTACAAAATGTTTGTGATGGAGTAATTGCAGGAAGTAAGATGTCACCCAAGTTTGTAGTGAGAAATGAGAGGAACATGTTATTAGATTTTCAACAACAGTAAATGTTCCTTTTTTATATTACAGTAAAATTTAGTAAATGATAATCACCCAGTTACTGACGACTCCAATATAATAATGACAATATTCATGACATTTCTACTCCTACATTTATTCTTCTTTCATCAACTCCCAGCATCTTCCCTCCCTACCCTTCCCACCCTCCCTTCTACCTATACTCCCCACGCCCCCTCTGCCTTAGATTCAGAGCAAGCATCCAAGTGTTATTCACTGAACTTCCTACAACAAGATGGACGAAGTTAGGCATATACTCTCATACCAAGGCTGGATGAGGCAATCCCGTAGGAAGAAATAGATCCTACAAGCAAGCAAAAGTTTCAGAGGCACACACACTAAAAAACTCCAGGCTAAAGAACTACAACGCATATGCAGGGCCTTGGCATACATAAAAATGAAAATCATTTAGCCTCCACTCAAAGCTGAGAACAGCATCATTGCCCTGAAGAGAATCGTTGATCTTCTGTATGCAGCACAAGTTCTTTTATGCACATTTCTGATTGTCCATGCAGCCTAGAAAATGAAAACAAACATACTAAATGGCCAGGGCTCAATCAACTAAACAACTGTGTGCTCCATCTCTGGTAAAGTGAACTAGGCTTTGAAAGAAAATGTTAGCATGTGGCAGTAGAGGGAACGTGGAGTGTGGTAGGTCACATCTCCCGTGCTGTATATTTGCTTTTGCTGGTGATATAAGAGTTTCAGGCATCATACATGTTATACCAAAACAAAGTAATGGTTCTCATATGAATAAACTTGGGCACTGGGTCTCTACAAAAACAAAAAGGGGTTTAGGTTTCCCTAGAATGTCGTAGATCACACTTTAAAAACTACACAGTATATGGTTACCTATCAATTATAAAAGTCTTGATGACTTATTGAAATGTTCATATATTCTATGTGGGTAGATCAACAGACAACTTTTGGGCTTCGTGAACAACCACAAGGTTCCTGTGGGCAAGTGTAAAACTGTCAAAGGATTTCCCCTCGAGAAAATTTCATTTCAAAAATGAAAATCACACTCAAAGGTGGGAACAACATCAGACTGCCCTGATAAGGTGGAATTTTGTGTCACGAAACTCTAAAAGGGCTTGAAGCTTGAGTACATCGCTTTCGAATATGTGACTCTGTGCAGATACTGTGTGTGTTACACACGAGATAGTAAATTAGAAGAAACCGATTTTGATAACGATGCTGTTATAAAGCAAAGTTTTAACATGTGATCTTTTATTTCATCTTCTTTTATACTGGGGCAGGAAGCATGCACTTACCATGATGAATATGTGGTGGTCAGAGGTCAACTTTAAGAGGCCAATCCACTAAGTCTGGGGTTCCATCTCAGCTTGTTAGATTTGGCAGCCAGTATCTTCCACCAGCCCAGAAACGTGAATTTCTAAATCATTACTTCTGCTCCTTTAATGTCTTCCTTCTGTTAAAAAGAATAAAACCAACTTAAATTATTAATAAAAATTGTTTTAATGTAGGTGCAATTTACCTCAAATAAACTGACCGGGTGGCTAAACTAATCTAGAAATATGAATTTTTACCTCCACCCTTTTGGCATACAAGGAGCGTAAATGAGACCATTTTCCCTTTTAGCTTACTGCTACCAGTTGGTGAACTCAGGAGAGTGTCCCATTTAGTAGTTAGCCTAAAGTAACAAGTTTCAGAAGCATGCATGGAAGATTGGGAAAGCCGATGGTACCTGCCTGGGCTCTGTAAAATTGTGGAGCATTACTGATAGCTGAACATTTTTAAAAACCCTCAGCATGGCACTAATCTTACTCATACAAACAGACACACATATCATACCTTAATAGATGCATTATCTAGGAAGGAGGAAGGGAGCTTTTTAGTGCTGTGTTGCACATAAACTGGGCTTTATGTACAGAAAGTTACTTTACACAGATAATGAACCTAAAGTAAAATGGTTATGTCTGGCAGCTAATTCAGCTTTATAGTATAGAGAGGTACATTCTTCATAATGGTACCTTCTGATTCTACTTCCTGAGTTCAGTAATCAGTGTCAATTACTGCTGGTTTCCATAGAAACAAGACAACTAACGGTTTTTAAATCTTCATTCATAGAGTACTTTTACAAATTATGTAGACTTAGGAATGGACTGCTTCCTAAGGACATAATGCTAAAGTAGACCCCAATAATTTTTAACCCCTTCAAATGATGTTTAAAATTTTGTGTCTGGTTCCCTAATATTGGACTCACATGTTTAAACACAGCGATCTGTATTTCAAACAGTAAGATGAGATTAAGCCACCCTTCCCTGAAGGGATGTTGAACAATTTGCTAGCAGCTGTTGAACAATTGGGGAAACCTACATTGTTAGATCATTGATTACAGTAATACAGGAACATAGCATCATTTCCCAAGATAAAGATGATTTAGGTTTTCCTTTAAAAGATTTTTGGCATTTAGAAAGCCTTTTGTATACTCACATTACTTACATTTGTCCCTGTGAGAAACTATTTGACAGACACATTACAGGATAATTTCAAATTTCGACCCAAAGTCCTGGGCTCTAGTGAGGCAGAATGGTATAAGAGCAGGAACACCTGAAGGAAGAAAAACTGTCCCCACCAGATAGGTGGCGGACAAAGTACCTAGACAAGGAATCAGGCATAATTTTCAGTTAAACCCCAGTGATATTCCTCCCACAGGTCTCCATCCCCTAAAATTTCCAGAGTTCTGAAATATCACTGCTATCTGGGGATCAAGAATTTGACTCTTGAACTTCTGTGGGACATTTCCTATTCACATTAAAACACCTGTCCATCAGGTCATTAAGGACAAATGAAAACAAGGCAGACTTGATGTTGTTAATTACATGGTTTTGAAATATATTTGAATTATTCTGCATTGATGCCTACTATATAAGTAATTGTCTTCTTCACTGTGTTAGAGCGACCCTTATTGCTAATATAAATTTAATGCGTGCTGTTCTTTGTCCACTTGTTTCCTTTATGCATGCTGTAGCGGTACAAGGATAATGATTCCACACTCTGTTTATGGAACTGACTATTTCAATTATAAATTAAAATTTGATGACAAAGGATTGTACCAGCCAGGGTTCCATCCGCTAATGTGTTTCCGTGCGTTGGGCATTTCTTTGCATCTCCACGAGGTCTTTTAAATAAACAGTTTCCCAGGTTCTGAATGTCTTCATTTTCACTGCTTCTCAATGTGGAGATCCCAGAAACCATGCTTATTCTCACACTGTCTCTCACATCAGTTTGAAGCAGCAATGAAACACTGAACTTGAGCGTGTTCCAGGGCCTACGGGTAACATGTTTGCTGGAACTGTGACTCACCTGAAAAGTGGGAAGGTATTAGATTTATTTTACTATAAACTCTAATCCATTCTCCTTGAATAACAGCTGAAGCACCTAGCTCCCTTCTTTCCTTAAGTGGATGGTATTACCTCTCCCATGAAGGAGCCTAACCTCCAGACAGCCCACAGATACAAGGGAACCTCACACTTTGCTGCGGGATATAATCTATAATCATCAAACATGATTTATCTATGAAATGCAGGTTAAGCTAAACCTCATCTCCCCTTAGACTGGATCACATCTCTCCCTCCCTCCCATCTCTCTCTCTGCATTCTGCATGTGTATGTGTCATGGATGTGTGTGTATATGTGTCATGGATGTGTGTGTGTATGTGTGTGTGTGTGTGTGTGTGCGCGCGCGCCAGCATGTGTGCGAGTGCACACACGTGCATGAGTGTGTATGGTTTGGGGTAAAATATCTGCATCTCTGTCATGTGCCTCAATGCTGTTATTTGTCCCACATTATTAATGTCAGTTTGTCATAGATTGAAGTCATTGTTATGTCTCTTTCAAAAGCAACTTAAAGAAAAAAGAAAAAAAACCAGCAGGACCCAATTGAAATATTTCCTTTCAATACAGCCAAGCTGCAGGCATAAAACACAATAGTAAAATATACAATGGGCCAAAGTAAAAGGGCTTTAGAGTGGATCTTTGTCATGCCACTGAAAGTATTTCATAACATCAGCAACTGCTTTTCTCAACTGACATCATATAGGTCTCAGCTAATGAAAGGAGACATGGAGCATGTTACATCAAATAGATTCTGGACAGAAAACAGAAAATGGATCGTGAATCCAGGGCCCCTAGCTAAAGCAGTCAGATCTTTGAATAGCAAAGGAACTAATGTGCTTTAGCTCTTCTCCCTTCCAGCCATAAAGCAAGAGCAGTACTAAAAGTGTTCTCTTTTCTACGATTCTCACTCCCCAATGCCCCCCCAAACACATACGCACACACACACATCACTGTGAAAGTCAGTTAGCAAGGATCAAAAACATTTCCTTTTAAATGAATCATGGCAATCCAATAAAGATGCAGCACAGGGATTATGCTCAAATCAATGGCAGAGCCGTAGCCAGTATTGGCAAGTCTCAAGGAACAAAAATTGCTCACGGTCAGGGCGTGTCCATCCAGAAATGAGCTTTGGGGCTAAGCACATGCTATGGGCTGAGCAAAATCCCGCCGGATTTTATAGTTGCTATTGCTTTAAGTAACTTTAGAGTGCTATAGTATTGGCTTCACTCACATCTTCCACGGATGGGCCAAGACAGGGATCTTCAGTGATGCAGTTATAGCCAGTAAGTGTGACTGCAATACTGATATGTAGAAATAAGTGTTAAATAACTAGGGGACATAATTGATTTAAAAGAATAGGATACTGTATACATCCCTTTGGAACCCTGAGTAGTAAATGAAGAGACATGCTTACATATTCAAAGCACTGGCCGTCAACTCTCATGAGTTTCCTATGTGCGATTTACTTCAAATTTGTGAGGAAGGTATTTTTATTACGAAGGGTTATATGCACCCCTCCCCATATGAAGATATAATATTTGGACCATGTTCCACACAATCTTCTCTGCCTTCTCCCAAGTCTCCCTTGTTCTCTAAGTCAGCTTCTCTTCCATGTTCATGTCCATGGCACATATTTTTGTATGTGTTTAGCAGATCTAAAAGCCACAAAGCATGATATCTGTCTTTCTGAAGCTGACTTAATTTCCTGAATATAATTATGTCCATTTGCATCAATCTTTCTGAAAATGACAGGGAATTTTTTTAATGTTTGAAAGAGAGATATAAACAGAGTTTGGTTCTTGTGACTATAATCTACAGCGATCTTCTCAGTCCTTCAGCTGCCGAGGTTTTGCTTGTTGTTTCTTTTCTTCAGTGCCCAGAATTAGAATAAAAGCCTTGTGCTCCGTAAACAAGTGCCCTGCCACTGAGCTAAGTCCCTGCCCATTGTCATCATTTAGAATATTTAGCCTGAGCCCAGCATAGTGATGCACTCCAGGAGTCTCACTACTGAAGGGGCTAGGAGAGAGGATCACGAGTTTGAGGCTAGCCTGAAGTACATTGAGATATATTGATTGTTTTATTTTTCTTTTTGTTATTTTTGAGATTATATTTTAGTTAAAACATTTCTCTCTCTGTATGTGTGTATGTGTGTGTGTATCTGTGTGTGTGTATCAGATTGTGTGTGTGTGTATCAGATTGTGTGTATCAGATTGTGTGTGTGTGTGTGTGTGTGTGTGTGTGTGTGTGTGCTGAATCTATATAGTGTGTTTTCAGATATGGCATTAACTCTGGACAAACCCTTGTTCTGCTCTTCCCACTACTCTCCTTCTCCCGGCTTTACTCAACTGTGTTTCATTCTTTGAGGCCTCATAGTCTTTTCCCCATACAGTTTAACACACTCACTGGGGTCCTTCTTGTCCAGCTCAAATACGAACTGGCATGTTGTTGAGACTTTACAGGTGTCATTTCAGATGGTACTAGGACTTCTTACATCTTTAATAGCTCTATAGAACCTCCTCTGGAGCCGTGGCTATTTTCCATTCCGTGGAACACAGTCACGTTCATTTGGGTTCTGCAGATCTACAAATAACAGTATGAGGTTCAGTCTGCTACAATGAGATGAGATGGAGGGAAGAAGATCAGACATTGGTAGTAGAATGGGAAATCTCACGTTGAAAAAGATGGGTCTTCATGCAGAGTCACACCAACTACTTGTAAGATTTCACATGACTCATTTATCCTTTTGAAGTGGTAGTTCTTCAGCATCAAGTTCGTTTCATCTCTGCATTTTTAAATCTAAGAGTACACTTTCAATTAAGAGGAAATCAATCCCAAGGCTTTCATGGTTAATCAAAAGAAGGCTTATAGCCTCCAGACCCTTCCAAGTGTATCTTCTGTGCTGTATTAAGATTTGACAACAGTTGATCTATCATGGGCTATTTTTCTTCTTTCACATTAAAAAAAATTACATGACTATGAGTCACCTTATTTAATCCATTACCTGATAATAACATCCTTTATGATTAGCCTAGAGGTCTAAAATAATAACTAATAATCATCTGCTTGTTAGAAAGCTATCTTAGCTGGAGACACTCCATCTAAACTCGGCAGCCCATTGTATTTCAAGGCCAGACCCCCAGGGTCTGTTGATCTCTGTGTGCAGTCAGGGCATATGGCATAGTTATCCTCTCTGAGGGGATAGAACCAATTTATTTCAAATAGAAAGGACTTATCAGATCTAGACAGATCTTTAAAACACCTGTAAGATAATTTGGATTAACAGCAGTAATAAAACAGCAAGCAAGTTTCCCTCCCCTTAAAATGATAAATGGCTGGGTTTCATTGAGCAGACTTTTCCTTATCTGATTTGTTTTTAAAATGATAAATAGGTTTCCATAAATCTAAAGGAAACTCTGGAGTCACCATCTACCTAATTGAATCAGAGCTTATATGATTCAAAGAGATAAGAACACATTAAACAAATGAGGAGATTTTACATGCCCAAAGTGGATATAAAATTCACCTTTGAAGAACACAGACAGAAACCTGAATATCTAAAGCAGATAAACTATCAAAATTAAAGTGACATTATTTGAAACTGTCCCCATTTATGAGCAGACTCTGCTTCCTGTCTGTTTTACCGTTTGCAAATATTCTAACAAGAATTATCGTGATTCCCCCAAAGATTTTATTTATTTTTTTTACCAATTTTCCAATTCATTACACTTTATGGTAAACTCTTTTGTCAGTAAACTTCCCATTCTGTTTGTGATATTAATGTTCCTAGTGTCAACCATCAGGGGTTCTGTAGCCTGAATTTTCATCTCTTCAGACAGAAATCCAGTGTGAGCTCTGATTTTCTGGTCTTTCTTGTCCACTCCAGTTTGTCTTCCATTTCAGTTTGCTCTTCTTGTGATCTCTGCCCCAACTCACCTCCTGGCTGTAGCCTAACTGACTCTCATGCTGTGCTTTCCTCTTGTGTTTGTTGCTGTTGTTTGGTGTTTTGTTTTGTTATTGGTTGGTTTTTTTTTTCTTTAAATCTTTTTGCCGGAAGCTCCACCATCCACATATATCAGTAGCTCTGCTTCTGAGTCATTATCGTTCATAAAGGTGGGTGAAAATCTGAAATACTCATGGTACTCAAAGAGGAAAAGTTTGGTTTCACTAGACGGGCAGAGAACGGGTTTCCAAGTGATTTTCATGAGACAAGACATAAATATCTTTTG